AGGGAATCCATCTCTTAAAAAATTTGCTTGAAAATCAAGAGGACTACTGTGTTTTGTTCCTATATCTGGAAGCAGGTTTGAGTTAGTGACTGGGGGGAGGGGGACTGGGGAGTCAGGGAACCTGGGCCCCTTTCCCAGTGTTGCCTGGTAACTGTGACTTCAAGCAAGTCCCCAGGAACACTTCACAGTCTTGACTTCTGATGCATGCCTCAAGTAGAGGTAACAGTCTTGCCCACACTGCCCCTGAGAAGGCTAGATAATACAGGGGCCATGTTCCTGGGGAGCAGTGGTTACACTATGCCATTTATCCCAGTGCCGAATTCTTGGACATTGCATGGGTTTCTCCTATACACTCTCACTGCCCCTGGCTGTAATATTCCTGGCTGTAGGGACTTTGCACATTGAAGGTCTTTCTCAATCTCTGAAGCTTCCTTCAAGAATAAGTGTGAAGGGGCAGCCTTGAACGGCGCAAGACCTTTAGGTCATCAGCACCACAGTCTTACTCCCCACCTCTTATTCAGAAGCACAGGGACAGCTGGGAGCCTGACTGTGCCTCTCATCTTGCCCTCTGATTTATACCCCCAGGTTATGGGGGCTGCTCTGCTCTTTTAAGACTCTCTTCCACCTCTGTCCTCTCAGCCTTCCTCACCATACTGTGCCCCTAGAGGGAGCACAGAGGTCCATCAGGGCAGTTTAAGCCTTGCAGGTCCCCTGCACAGCCCCAGCTCTAGAGAGAAGCCAGTGCTGTGACAGCTGCATGCATCACTGCTTCAGATATACTAACTGATCCATCTCCTTGAGAGAAACAAACAGTGCTTGAGAGCCAAGATCTGGGACCTGCATGGTGTCCACATCCCCAGGAGCTGCTTTCCTCTCCATGCTCAAGTGGAATAAAGAGGACTTTGGCTCAGGAATATAGTCTGGGTGCAGGTACTGAGGACAGGTGAAATGCCTGTAAGTCATTGTAGTTACCATTAATAATTTCAGCTTCTCTGTAATACTCTGTAGTACTGGTGTGTGTGAGGAGCCTGACCCCTTGGGTCCCATGAAGGCCCCATGAAGGCTGTGTGAAGAGACCTTGAACCAGTTAGTTTGTGCCTGGTCTCTGATGCTCACTGATACAGGCAATTGTGACTGGCATGTCTTTGGCCCCTTTGGTGGCCAAGAGCAAGCGCTGGCAGCTCATGGTTGTTTTGAGCCCTGCCATCAGGGACATAATCTTAATTGGCACAGCCCCAGCACATGGACCATGCCCCAGCCTTGGGGAGCTGCTTTGCTCCCTCAGCTGTAATGAGAGCCCAAGCTGGAGGGAAGGGCTGAAAAGGGTGGGTCTGCCGAAGGGTCCCTGGGGCTTACAATGGTATGGCTACAGCAGAAACAACAACCCTACCCTGGTCCCTGCAACACTTCCCCCTCCATAAATGGAGTAGGTGGATAGCTTTCTTCTTCCCCCCATACCCCCACTTTTCTTCCCTCCCAGAGGTCACCTTCAGCAGGGAGGCAGCGTGTCCTCAGGACCAGAGACATGGTGAAGAGGCGGAGCGTCACGCTCAGCCCTGTAATGCCTGGCAGCCCCCTCCGGCTGCTCCGTGCAGGCTGAACCCAGCCCAGAGGCTGCAGCGGGGGAAGCAAGGCAGATCACGGCAGGCCGCCAGTGCTGCGCTGCTGGAGAAGGTGAGAGGCTTGGTATGGACGGGGAGGGAGGGTGGGAGGAGAAGTTACAGCTGTGACAGGATGAAAGAGACTGGACAGGCACATAAAAGGGCACCCCACCCCTCATAAGCTGGTTTTGGAGACTCTGGCATAGTGCGCCAACACGAATTGGAGTGCACCCACTTCCCACATCTGGTTGGTGGTGAGCTTGTTAGGTGGCCTTGGCCCAAAAGGTTGCTTTGTGTCTGGTTGTGTCTGATGGGATGGTGCCATGGTACTGGCTGGTTGGTTGAGAGGAGGGTGTGATATGGCTTGGTCGCAGTGAGATCACTGCCGATTTCTGTCCGAGGACACTGGTGTATGCTGGGGAGAGGCTCCCAGGGCTGGCTCTGGGGAGGCTGCTAGGTGTTTCTGCCTGAAAAGAGCAATAGCAGTTCTGCTAAAGGGACGGTCATGCGGTTCTCCGCAGTGAGACCAAGCACTAGCCTGCTGACCAGTTTTAGAAAGAAGCTCATAAATCTATCAGCAGTAAGGCCAGAAACAATCACTGCGATAACCTCTTCTGATCCCTTGCCTGGATTAAACGTGGTTTGCACTAGAGTGGACCTTTTAGAGGGAAAAAAAGCGCCAATCTGGAGTTAGAAGTTCAAGAGATGGAAGAATATTCTTCCATAGTGTTTGATGGGATTCTTAGGGGCAAATATCCCTCTTCACAAAATCTGCACCGCGACTGAGGTCTGTAATTGCCTCGTTTCAGCTTCAGCTATTGGTTTTATTCTCATGCTTCTACTTAATTGGGAGAGCCCTCTTTAGTGAATTTCTAGTACCCACAAAGGTACATACAGATGATAGAGTCACTTGTTCGCTATCTGTTTGATAAGCTGAAAAAATTGCTCTCCTGGAAGTTTCCCCTGTAATTGTCAGCACCGTTGCGATTCTCATGGTTCTTCTCTAATCCTTTTTTATCAAACTCTGGACACCAGCACTACCTTGCTGAACTGTGGTCTCACCAATACCATTAAACAGATAGAAAACATCCAATAGCTAATTCTGTTGACGCATCAGCTGGCTCCCGAAAGAGTTCAGGAAATTTATCCTAGAGGAACTAAGCTTTCACATCAGTGTATTTTTAACATTCAAAAAAAACCCATTAAAAAGTAGATTAAGACAAATGCAAAGCAGAGCAAATGGAAGGAATGCATTTCCAATAAAACTACAAAATCCACCGGTGCACAATATTCTCAGTTCTAGTGCAGAAGTCATTAGCAGGTGGCCAGCTTTTCAGAAATACAGCTTTCCTAACTCAGCTGATTTTCAGAGATTAAATTTCAGACTGTCTTGGGCATCTGTGTGTAGGAACCTCTGCAGAAACTGGAGTTCACTGTAAGAGGCACATTGTTTCAGAACAGACCTCTTCCTTCATTACAATCTACCTTAGACTATGTAAAGCTAAATGGCTGTATCTATTTTTTTTTGTTTACGGTGAAGCTTATTTTCTTAATTTAGCACCTGGAAAATGCTGCTTTGCCTCTTGGTGCTGATGTTTCCTGCATCTGATGCTTTTTGGGCATTCTTTTCAGCAGAGTGAATGCGAAAGTGGAATCGGCAACATCAGTAACCCTTGTACCATTATTCTCATAGACTTGTATCTGAATCATTAAGATGTGTATGTATATCACTATAGATTATTTCTAGTGCAATTCTGTATCATTCTACATATTAATGCCTATGAAGGAAGTGAGGCTCTACCAGATCTACATTTCTGGGTTTACATAGCGCCCATTTTATCTACAAAGCAGTGTGAAGAACTTAGATTCATCTGATTAATATGACATTTCTTTTTTTTTTAATGTCACTCAATGCCAGAGTAAACTCTTGACTTCTCATGTTGTTTGAAACACTTTTGTATGTGTGTATGGGCATGCGCTAGTTTTATCAAGCAATGCATGATCTACCCAAACCCGTTTTGTGTAATTTGGAAGTATTTTCTTGATGCTTTCAGTGCTTTCCTCTAGATCATTGATAAAGGTAAAAGTATTATAACAGAGTCAGTATTTAACAAAATTAATTGTGTAAGGTGAGCACACCAATAAAGTATGATAATTTCCACTATACTGGGTTTATTTTTAAATCCATTAAAAATGTGTGGCTTACTGATTTTGACCAATGTCAGGATGAATTTGTACAGATAGTTTTCAGGGAACAGTTAATGAATGGTATATTTCTGGCAAGTGCTGTATGAACCAATACCGGGCTGAGAACTGCTCCGAACTCCCACAAACAATTTAGAGGTTGGTGGGAATCCCCTGCAGGTAGGGTCCTTACCTAGCCCTAGATAGAAATGAACACGGTGGTTTGGTAACAACAGAGACACCGAGTGATCTGAATTACTTTATACACTAAGTCCATTTGAGGAAAATGAGCTTTATTAAAGGCAATGCAAAATTAATCATGTAGAAACAAGGCAGGCAACATCCAGAAAGGGACATGGAAAGGAGGTGGAGTTTTTCCCCCCAAAAAACCCCAGTAATTTGGAAAAACTATGACATTATAATGCACATGTAAGGTAACGCAGCTTCTCTATGTGGCGTTCCTGCAAAAAGAGATCTTGGGGCTACTGCATGAGGCAGAGGGTAATTCTAGCTGAATGCCTTGCAGGAGGCATTCCCCAGGAGCAGTTGGTGTTTTAACACGGCAGGGCAGAAAAAATGGTGCAGCTTCAGAAAACAGCCATAAAATGGATCTGAGAGCTGGACAAAGGGCCTTGGTTTGAGAGTTTGACAGAAGGTTGTTTGAAGGCATTTAACCAATAAGAAGACCGAGAGGTGTCTTGATCAGAGAGCATGAAAGTGTTTATTCAGAATTCAAAATGTGACTACAATTTCTGGAAGCCTCCTACCTGTTTTTAAGCTAACTGATGTGGGCACTACAGAAGCACAGTGTGCCAGGCGGTTTGTGAAGACTAAGTAAAGTGTTGGTTAAATAAATAAGCTATTTCAGGCTATACCCTGCTAGTTTTACTCAATCTAAGTAGTTTAAAATGCATTCTTATAGGCTGTGGTCATACCTCTGATCACAGTGCATATAAACCCTGAAAAATTCAGTAGACAGGCACTAGAAAACTCTTTTCTCTAGCTGAGAAACTTGAGCAGCATGTTAGGTAAATTCAGATTAGGATATCATATAAATACGTAACAGCAAGAATGTTAACACTAGCTTTTATAGTTGATCAAAGTTTGTCTTTGGATCAAGCCTGTATGACTTTTTGCAAGAGGTGCCCTATATTTTTTCTGTTATTTGGTTTGGGTCAAAGCTCTGTAGAAAGCCAGACAAGAAAATGGACCCTACATGCCATATGCTCAAGGCCACTTTTAATGGAGCATCTTTGATAAGAGGAGAGGCTGAGACAGCTGAAACTCATCAGCTTGAAAAGAGAAGGTTCAGAGGGAACTTTATTGGCATATATAAATACCTGATGAGAGGGAATGAATAAAAGGGACCCAAACTCTTCTCTGTAGTGCTCATTGACAGGACAAGAGGCAATGTGCACAAATGAAAAGATAAGAAATTCCATCTAAACAGAAGAAAACTTTTTTTTTTTAAATTTTTGTGATGGTGGTCAGTGTGATAGGTTGCTCAGAGAGGTTGTGAAGTCTCCATCTGTGGAGATACTATTAACCTGACTGGACGCCTTCCTAGATAACCTGCTTCAGCTGCCACTGCTTGAGCAGGGGAATTGGATTAGATGATCTCAAGCCCCTTCCAGCCTAAACACCTCTGTAATTCTGTTATCATAGCACTGTCTCTGTTCTACAGACATTATACTGTCTTTGGCTTTTGACATGTATGAAGTGCTTTTCTGGACCAAATACAGCAATCATTTTGGTTGAAGAACCAGAATAACATTACCTAGAATAAGACCCTGTATCTCAATAGGCTAGCTCCTCCTCAGCTCCTCAGAAAGTTGGGAAGCATCTCCTGATGGTGGAATGGATGTGAATTTCTTGCTGCTGTAGTTAGAGACTCTTTCAGGGAATTAGGTTTTCTCATGTGCCAGCAGTCTGGAACCAGGACAGGAAGGATAGTGGAGGAAAGAACAGTTTTGAAAAGGACCAGGCCTGCTGCCTTCAATACAGCACAGCTCAATGGTGAGTGCATCCTGGCCAGGGCCCTGCTGGCCCCCTCCCCAGTCCTTGACGCTCTGCAAAGGGAAAATGGCACTTTAGAGGGTAACACAGATAGCTGCAGAGCACCCAGGCAAACTTTACTCAGTGGTGACCCAAATTTGGCCCTCACTTAGCTTCCTAGCTAATGGTGGTGGTACCTCAGAGGAAGACCTGACAACTTTGGCTATTTTTATGAAGTATGGACTATGTTCTGTAATCAGTGTCCTCAAGGGCAGGAAGGGCCAAAGCCTGCAGACTGTGCTGGAGTGACTGCAGCTGGGGCTTCTTTCATGTGGAGCCCTGATCAGACCCACAGGAGTGTCACTGTCCCCTCAAGACACTCTACACATATCCTCTGGCTGGTCTGTTTTTTTCAGGTTGGCTGTTTCACTTTGATGCTCTGCTCTGTACCCAATCTGCCCTCTCATGCTAGTGGGGGTCATGTGTGAAAGTAAGGATCCTTGCCATCTATACTGCAGTTCACTTGAAATGTGGGGTGAAAGGACACAAGAGTTTTTTGGATATTTTTTTTTAATTGCAAAAACTTATGGACTGAAATGTTTTGACTCCCAAAGCTGGAGTGAGAACCAAGAATATACAAAGAAGCATATCCTCCCATTCACAAAAGCAAGTTTTCACAAAGTGAATAGGAGAGACTTAATGAATCACATAAAAACAGAACGGATGAATCATATAATAAATAATTCAATACAAATAAAACCAGATAAATGAATAGGTATTTGAAAATGATATAATTATTGAATAATACATTAAGTGGATGGCACGAGAAGATTCTAACATTTGGGCTAGACAGCACTAGCAGGTGGCCAGCCTACAAGGGAAGAAATTTCATCTAACTCAAGTTTGAGAAATTAAGTTATTTGAGAAGATCGTGAATAATCTGCTGACAAGAACTTGTATATGACCATGAATTTGATATAGGAGAAACATAGTCATACAGAAAAGATAATTTGATCTTTTTTAATTTTTTTCACAAATATAAATCTAATGTGTCCTGCACAAGATGAGCAGACATATCTCCTCTTGTTCCACTCCCTATTTAATGTGGCTTTAGCTTATCTAATACCAAGGGGAGGTGTAGGCCTTTCAAAGATCTATTACATTATATTTTTTTGTATTCATAGGTAGGACTCTTTAAAAGGCTTTTTCAGCTATCCTTTTTAACACTCAAATGTGGCAACACCAGTTTGGAAATGTTGGTGGTCGAGTGGGTCCATTTGCAGATTCTGCAGTGCCCTGGCTGCGTGTGAATTTCACAAGCTCTGCAGGCTGGGCAGCAAACAGGAGAACTTCAACGCAAAATCTCTAAAATACTTTCCAGTCCATCTTTCCCTGTGAGTTTCTCCCAGCCTCCCATTCATCCCTCTCCCATGCATGCGCTTGTTCAGTGTTGAACTTCCTGTGGACTGCACTAACTTTGGCTGCTGTTGGTGGTCAGACCAAGTCAAAGCCTTTGTAGAAAAGTAGGGCAAATTACTTGGTACTTCCGAGTTGAGTAAGATTTGGCAATGCAGTCTAGGAGAGAAGGGAACAGAAAAGAAGGGGAATTTTCCCACAGGTAGTCTCAGTCTCCTGTACAAATCCAGCCTTTTTGTAGTTTTCCTAGGTGTAAATAATTTTACTGCTAAATTACTGGATTCTTAAGAATGACCAGATTTAATAGCAGTGGGAACTGGAAGACAAAGGAACTGTAAGAAGTTCTGATCACAGATAGGGCAACGTAAAACCTAAGGGAAAAGGCTTCATTCTTTCTGCTCCCACTCATATTCCCAGGATGCCATCTTCCTTTTTAGCAATGTGAGGTCCTATTCCCTCCCCTAAAAGGTGTCATGTGAGTCAGAACATTTAATGGGAAGAGATCCTGAGCTTGTAGGTGCAGTGAGCCACTGGTTTTATACCACAGCTCTGTCTCACTGCACACTGTTTAAGTTATATCCAAGAATGCTGCAACCCTCAGGCTTTTGGGTTGCATCCTGGGCTGCATTAGGCAAAGCATTACCAGCAGTGCTAGTGAGGTGATTCTGTCTCTCTACTCAGCACTACTGAAGCCACATATGGAGTAGTGGGCCCAGGTCTGTGCTCCCCAGCAGAAATGTGAACATATTGGAACAAATCTAGAAAAGTCTGTGAAGATGGTTAAGATACTGGAGCATCTCTCATACAAGGAGAGGCTAAGAGAGCTGGGACTTGTTCAGCCTCGGGAGGAGAAGGCTCTCAGGGATCATCTTGTCAATGTGTATAAATACCTGATGGGGAAGGTGTATAAAAGACAGTCTTCTCATTGATACTGAGTGACGAGACAAAAGGCTGTGGGTATGGATCAAAACACAGAATTTCTATTTAAACAGAAGAAAAACCTTTTTTTACTGTAAAGGGGATCCAGCAGTGGAAAAAGCTGCCCAGAGTGGTTGTAGAGTCTTCATCCTTGGAGGTATTCAAAGCCAGACTGGGCACAGTCCTAAGCAACCTGTTCTAGTTAACCTTGTCTGAGCAGGAGGTTGCACTAGAAGATAATAGAATCAGAGAATCATAGAATATATTGCGCTGGAAGGGACCTTTAAAGATCATTCAGTTCAACCCTCCTGCAGTAACCAGGGATAATGTTACTACATCAGATTGCTCAGAGCCCCATCCAGCCTGACCTTGAATATCTCCAGGGATAGGGCCTCCACTACTACTCTAGACAACCTGTTACAGTGATCTATCACCCTGATATTGAAGAACTTTTTCCTAATATCCAACCTAAATCTGTCCTTTTCTAGTTTAAAACCGTTACCCCTTGTCTTATCACTACATGCCCTAGTGAACAGCTCTTCCCCAGATTTCTTATAGGCACATTTCAGGTACTGGAAGGTCACGATGAGGTCCCCCCAGAGCCTTCTCCAGGCTGAACAACCCCAAATCTCTCAGCCTGTCTTCATAGGAGAGGTGCTCCAGCCCTCTGATCATCTTCATGGCCCTCCTCTGGACCCGTTCCAGCACTTCAACGTCCTTTTTGTTTTGGAGACTCCAAAGCTGGACATAGTACTCCAGTTGAGGTCGCACCAGAGCAGAGTAGAGGGGCCGAATCACCTTCCTTGAGCTTCATATATCTTCATAGATCTTCGTTATCTTCAGAGGTGCCTTCTGATCTTGACCATCCTGTGACTTTGGGGTTCTGTGACCTTGCTCTGAACCCAGGAGGGGCTCCCCGGCCCCAGGTGCCTGTGTTCAGAGCAGGGAGGTAGTCAGGGGGAGAGTGCTGCCACAGGCACCTTAAAATGCTGCCTTTGGAGCTGGGAGGACTGCAAAAAAGCGTTTCTCTGAAATGGCTCCGAAGCAGCTGGCTGTTGCTCAAAATACTACTGATGTCCAAGCTTCCTTCCTACCTAAGTTTCTTGGCTACACACAAGTGACTTTGGGTCAGAAATGTCAGCAGACATGTAGGGTACTGAGCTCCCTTTGGAGTACTCAGATCACACTGTCTCTGAGTAGTAACCCCTATTTTGTCACAGGCTAGCTGTGCCTCTGCCACTACCTGAAGGACTTTCTTCAGTCAGCAGTAGGGGTGGGTTTCTGTGTAGAAAGACATGGTCTTGCTGCAGTAGGCTAAGGAAGAGCAAGAGGACTGGGTCACGCTTGATAATGTGGGACCCTGTTACCATTTTGTTTGTTGCTTAACACCTTGGAGTATAGAACAAAAAGAGATCTGGAAGACCAAGCTTTAGTACAGACACAGAAAGCTGGTCCAGGTCCTTGAAATAAGAGGCTCCAGGAACTACAATTAGAGAGACACAAGCATCTGCCTGGAGGCCAGAAAGGATTAGAAAGCTGAGGGAGGTTCCCTTCAATACAGGGACCTTTTATACGATGAGGGTCTTTGCCCAGAGGTGTACTGTGTAAAAGCACAAGCTCAACTCCAGCACAGCTGCAAGAGTGCTCGGGGTAGAAACATGCCTTATCATGGCACTGTTTGTGTGGTGTGTCTGATCTGCTTTTCTCTGTACATGTTGTGATTTTCCTGATTTGGGCTGTGGTGTTTCCACAGAGCTCAGCAATGGCCGAGAGCTCAGCTGCAGCAGCGGCAGGGACAGCGGCACGAACCATGCTAGACGAGCTCCTGGAGATCACGGCTCAGAGCCTGGTGCGCACCGAGGTGGCCGAACACTATGAGGTTATTCGGGAACTGGGCAGGGGCAAGTATGGTCACGTGATGCTAGTGACACACAGGCAGAGAGGTAAGGAAATGACTGTGCCCTGTGAGCTACTGCGCCTTGCTTTCTCTCCACTCAACAAGGCGCTGGGTAGGCTGATGGCTCCTTGGGGCCAGACACAATGGGGAGTCCACTGGGAGACTGGCAGGACAGAGACCTCCCCAGACAGGGACCACTCCATTGCACCCAGCCAAGAAGCAGGTGGTGGCATCCCAGAACATCAGGCAAGGTTGTGGTGATGAGGCAGATCCCAGGTCAAGCCAGGAAGTCAATCCACAAGTCAGGATAAATAAGATTCATGGCTAGGCATCAACATGAATGTGATATAGCTCCCACCACACAGCTCATGCAGGGGGAGAAGCCCCAAGCCTGAGCTTAAATATTGCCCTCAGGCCCATGGACAAAGGGTGTGAGTCCTAGGTGGGGTTGGCCAAGGCCCTTAAGGCCTATGAGTGCCCACAGGACCCTGACACTGCTATTCCACAGTAGTCCCAGCTCAGACTCGTATGCCCACGTATCCTGAATTTCCCTTCCTCTACGCAGTGCTCCTGTGCATGCACTGACTGGCTCAAAACTCACAGCAATGGCAGTGCCTGATCCCAGATCTGGTGTCCACAGGATATATCCACACAAAGTGTTGGGCAAGAGATCTCCTTATGGCTATGAGTGTCTGGACTCATGGCTGCTCAGTGCCCTCTCTGTATGGCCTTGGTGTGAGTGACATCTGGGGGAGTCTAACATACTCTTCCCCATCTGCAGGGACTCCTATGGCTCTCAAGCTCCTACCCAAAGCCAGTACCAAGCTGCACACCTTCCTGTATGAGTATTGCGTGGCACTCTCCCTTGCCACCCACCCTGCCATCATCAGTATGTTTGGAATTGCCATTGAGTCCAGCCAGTACTATGGCTTCCTCTATGAACCAGCACTGCACAAAGACCTCATCTCTATCATCAAACCCCGGGTGAGTGCTGCTACAGGGGTGTGAGAATTGGGAGTATAGTATTTGGCCTCGTGCAGACTGACTAGGTCAGAGGGAGGGAGATAGGGTTGTGGGTCTCATGTGTGGGGTCTGCAGTGCTGAAGCAGCTTCAGACTTGCAAGACCAGAAATGCAAAGGTCTTCCCCAGAGCAGAGCACACAGGTGAGAGCTGAGCTGGCAGGGCTGCCAAGATGCTCTGCATGTGCTGTACTGCCTGTCTCTCTCCCTGTGCAGGATGGGATCCCTGAGCCAGCCGCTAAGCACTGTGCCAAGCAGCTCGTGAGCGCGCTGGAATTCATCCACAGCCGGGGGCTTGTGTACCGAGATGTCAAGCCTGAGAATGTGCTGCTTTTCGATCCTGAGTGTCGGCGCATCAAACTGACTGACTTTGGGCTTACACGGCCCAAGGGTACCAAGCTTAAGCTGGTGGCTGGGGTAATCCCCTACACCGCCCCTGAGCTGAGCAACACCACTGATGCCCAAGGGGTACCCATCGATGCCAGCATGGACGCCTGGGCCTTTGGTGTGCTGCTTTTCTGCCTGCTGACTGGGTACTTCCCCTGGGAGCAAAGCTTGCCAGATGACCCTTTCTTTGAGGACTTCATGCTGTGGCAGGAGACAGGCCTAGAAGAGAACGTGCCCCGCCACTGGAAACGCCTGACAACCGAGGCTGCCCTGATGCTACGGAGCCTGCTGGCCTTAGATCCCGCCAAGCGGAGCCCTGTCAGTGGTGCACTGCGCTACGTCGATTGCCCTTGGCGTCTGGAGGATGGGTGCAGCGAGAATACTGTGGTGAAGCCATAAAGCCTGGTCCCCATGGGGGGAGGGAAGGCAGATCTCACCCTGCAAGGGACTTTGGGGTCTGGGGCATCATGGTGGCCCAGGTGTGAGAGGTCATGGTGAGACAGAGAGCAACTTCTCCACAGCACTATCCCTGCTACCATGGAGCCAGGCTCCTTCCCCAGATCATGGTCCTCACTCCATGACTCAGTGCTGCCCAATGTCACCTCCTTGTACTTCTTCTGGGTTTGAAAACATCTCCTTTCTCTTGTGAGAGAGACTATTCATGTGTGAAGTATCCACTCACTTCTTGGCCGCAGTGACTTCAGGGTGGCTTCTGCAGGCACCTGCCTTGTCTTCAAAATAGAGTAAATTACCTACTTTTGTGTTTCTGTATGTGGCTCTTTTATCCTTATAATAAAGTTCCTGTGAGGGGCTGCTTGCTGTGGGAGAGCAGGGGCATGATGAAGCCTGCCATCAGTATTTAAGAGGCATTTGCACAATGCCCTTAACAATACGATTTAACTTTTGGTCAGCCCTGAATTGCTCAGGCAGTTGGACTCGATGATCCTTGTAGATCCCTTCCAATGGAAATAATTTATTCTGTTCTATTCTATTCTATTCTATTCTATGCTATGCTATGCTATGCTATGCTATTCTCTTCACTAATGGGAGGGTATAAAAAAGATGCAGCCAGAGTCTTTACAGTGGTGCTGGGTGACAGGACAAGAGGCAATGTGCACAAATTGAAATACAGGTAATTCCATTTAAACATAAGAAAAATGGCTTTATGGTGATGGTGGCCAAACACTGGAACACTGGTTGTGGTGTCTCTGTCTTTGGAGATATGCAAAAGCTGATTGGATAAGGCCCTTGTCAACTTGCTCTAGCTGTCTCTGTTTTGTGCAGGAGGTTGGACTAGGCAATCTCCAGAAGTCCTGTCCAGCATCAACTATGCTGTGATTCTGTGACACCTTTCATCTTCAAGGACACACTGTGTTGCAGCTGGAGACATGTGGGGCTTCCAGAGTCTCTGCTTTGGAACTGTTCAGCGTGGCAGGCAGTGGTCTCAGCAGAGCTGGGTACAAGATCCAAAACTGGTGTAACAAGAAAGGATTAGCAAGATTTTAGGGTTTATTCCAAATTTAGGCAAACCTGAACTGGTGGAACACTGACATCTTTGGGGAAACAGATCAAATAGTCCAGGGCTGTTTTTTGCAGGATCCAATCATGCTGATGAGGATCAGTGTTGCCTGGCAAAGATGATGTGACAGAGGCTATTGGCAGTGAGCAGTGGTGATGACTAGGATTGTTTCTCTGCCTCCTTTATCTCAGAGCTTTGAGACTTTGGCAGAAGGGGTTTCTGCTGCAGGAAAGCTGTGCGACATGTAGCTAAGTGATGAAATCAGCACTGTGACTGCACTGTGTGCTTGATGGTAGTGCAGATGGGGTTACAACGGCAGAGAGTACAGTGGCAAAGGCCCTGCCCTGAGCCAAGTGCCCATCCTGGGCTCCTTTTCTCAGTGGCTTAATCATAACCATAGCTGGATTTCTTAAATCAATGAACAACCAGACCTGTTGAAGCCTATCCCCAGGGGGTCTGAAAAAAGATCTGCTTGTCTCCATCACCCCCGCAGCAGCTGCTGGGAGAGGCCGAATGGAAGGGAGCTGCGTGCAGACATGCTGGCCCTTCGCACGCGCGGCTGCTGGCTGCAGGAAGGCTGGCTGGGCGCCCGCTGCCGTAAAGGGCAACATTTCAGCTCATGTAGGCACAAAGTATGGGGTGGATCTGGTGTCATCCCTAAAGACGCATCAGGTGGCTGCAAAGGGGAGGGAAAGATGCAGTACTTCACTCCTCTCTGGGGTGGAACGAAGTGATAAATTGGGTAATTACAGAGCTCACTAGACTCTGAGCTCTGGCTGCAGCACCTGCAGTCCAAGCAGTGTGAATCCAGGCCCTAGTGCCCTGGTGCCTGCAGCACACTGCATGCACAGGCTGGGAGTATGGATCCCATGGCTTTTGGTAGGATGCACAAGCTGTGCTTCTGAATCCCCTTGTGAACCTCACTACAGATTCTGCTCTCTGTTCTGCACCACATATTCCACATGACTCCTGACCAGTCATGCTCAGCAGCAACCTGGGGCTTGCAATGCAGACTGCAGGGTATAGGGAAGGCCAGAACTAGCACTTTGGTACTGCAGAGGCAGTGTGATGGGTGGAGCATGAATCTGTTAACTGGACAGATCCCTTGGTCATGACAATCCTTCCAGTTAGGAAATGTTGGTAGGAAGAAGTGGAAATGGAAGCTGTTTGCTAGACCAAAGCAGAGGTGAGAAAGTGCAGGCAGTTATGAAAGTGATTGCTCCAGGTTACGATAATGGTCAAACAGTGCCACAGACGAATCATCACAGAATTAAAATGATGGTTGTTGAAGAGAGCACTCAGACAAATTATTTGACCTAATCACAGGTCAGCAACACCTCTAACATATGGACCACGTTGTGATGCTGGTTGGACTGAGGACATGAAAGGGGGGGTTGGACCAGTGGATAGTGAGGTTAATGTCATCTCCTCCTTCTACAGGAAGAGTAAGGAAAGTCATTCTATTAGACTGGCTGACCCAGTCGCTAAAGGCAGGGCAGAGGCCCAGCCTTCAGGACCTCTCCAGTTAGGCTTCTGGCATAATTTCTAGAAGTTTGCAGCATATAATCTTCCCTCTGCCTTGTTGATTCTGGCACTGTGCTACCTCCATCTCCTCCCACATAAACCCTGCTAAGTATCATTGCTAGGACCATGGCTGATGTTTCTTAGGAAGGGCAGTGAAGGACTAATCCTGCATATTTCCCAGAGTTCTCCTGTAGCCTTGTCTCCTGTACAAGACTGCATGCTGGCCTTCCTCTGTGACCCTTCCCACTCGGCACAGAGATGCCAGGTTTGGAGACTGGATGGGGACTGAGCATCAGATCCCAAAAAATTAGTAGAGGAAAGAATCTCAGGCCAGGGAATATGATAGGGCAGACGCAAGACTGCATAGTGCCAGTGCCTGCCTCCTCCCACACTGCTTGTTCTTGAGTTTTGACTTTCACTTCACGGACAAAGCAGGCCAGAGCTTTGATAAAAATACACAAAATATGACCCTGATCTGAACAAATGTCCTTCTGAGCACAGGGATGGAAAGAGACAATAGCTGGGGGATACAGATGGTGGGAATTTGTTACCTTTCATCCTTACTTATGCAGGGGCAGGTCAGGGACAACTGCAAGCAAGCTGATGTCTTCTAGAGCTGCCTGTAGCTGAGAAGCCATGAGAAGTCATAAAGCCCCATTGTCATGCCAAAGGACAAAGAACTGCTGGACTGGAACTGGCTGGATCAGAAGCTACCTGATCTCTGATGAGGAAGCATGCAATGGCTCATGGAGTTTCAGCTATAAGCCTTTTTTTAACCTCTATCCTGCATCCCTGAGTGGAGATGCATGAACTGGAGGGAAAGGCCTTAAAGACATCAAAGAAGCTGCCTCAGTGTATTCTACATACTGTAGCTTGGATTGCACAGTACCTTGCTATCTATACTGTAATTTTAATTGTATATGTGTGTTAGGGCTGACCACAAAAAGAGAAATGACCAGTTCTAAATCCCATAAGGACTCTCCAGTATGCTAGACTTCTTACTTACAGCCCATCTGAGGTCTGAGGGCCAGCCATGCCAGCCGATAGCCTGGGCTTGCCCATATACAGGTCTGCCTGTTGCTGTGGGTGTGTGCGTTGTTTTTCCCCTGGGCTGACAGGCAGCCTGGCATGCTTATAAGCCCCGTGCTTTGGTGTAGCTTTGTGCAAGAGAGGGAGGAAGGGGGAATTTGGCCTGGCACAGCGTGGTGACAGAAGATGGTCATAGTTGTCACACAGACTAATTGCACTTCTAACCCTTCTTTGCTGTTTACAAGCTGCCCCCCCCCCCCAAGGACTCATGTCTCTGGCGGGCTCCTGTGTCTCAGAGTGGAATCACACAAGGCACCTGCTCTCATGCTGGTCTCTAGTAGCCACCTTCTCTGTGCTGACTGAGTGCAGCTTCCACCTGAGATTTGCTGACAGATTTCTTAGGGCATAGTGAGAAAGAAAGTGTGCTTAGGAGGAAATTTACCTTAAGTGATAAAACAGTCCCCTTTTAAATTTTGTATCTGATGTCTAACTTGCTTCAGACAAAGCAGTCTGGTTACCATGATCAGAGGCTGCTGAGATGTCTGTGAACAGCCAGTTCAACAAGCAGCTCTGAGGCCCCTGTCCTTGTCCCCAGTGCCGCTTTACACCTGGCTCAGCTGGTTACCTTCCCTTCCCTTCCACTGGAGAAGTAGGAGATGGAAGCAGAGCAAGGACAGCTATGTGCAGGTGTTGGCTGACATCTGCTGAATCTGCTCTCTCCAAAGCCAGGTGGGGAAAAAGTGACAGCTTTCACACCCCCTTGTTCTGCCATTAACAGCTGTTGCAGTTGATGCTCTGCCTTGAGTAATTATTTCTTCCTCCTCTTCAGGACAGTAAATCTTGCAGAGCTTGCCAAAGACAGAGCTAATTCATAATCATCTTCCCTGGGGGCATTCTGGGCAGGATTAACTCCTGACACTTCCTTCTGCAGAGCCTCTCTCTGCTTTACCTTGCAACCCCCTCCAAAGGAGGTTGCTGGATAATTTCTGGCTGCTCAGCCCTCCTGACAGGAACTGAAAAACATTTAATTGGTTGTACCTTTATGATATGCTAAGCTTTATGTCTCCTACAGGTCAGTTTCCTGAGGCTCATGGATGTGGGTGTGTTATGTGTCCAAACCCTGCAACTGAGTAAGATGAGCAGATGGTAAACCTCCATACCTTTGGACTGGCTGATACAGAGTTAGTGCAGGAATTTCACTATACACTAGATATATGGGATAGATCTGACCACAGACAGACACAGGACTGTCCCAGCCTGGGGCTCATAGCGTTATTGCATACTGCCAAACATGTATCATGGAGGCATGACAGTCGTGGCTGTGCTG